AAAAAAAAAACAAAGTTATTTTATTGCAGTGATTAATTTTACTTATAGAACATGCTACATTTACATCCTGTCATGGATCAATTAGACTCATTACAGCACTTTGTACTTCTAATGTTATTGCATCATCAGCACTGTGTACAGCAGGGCATTGCTGAAGTATATCAAGTACTTACTTGTCAGCAATCAAGTTTTGATTAGCATGAGTATATCTATTCATCCAACATCTATTTATTAGACATCCATATAATCATCTATCCTTCAACCAGCCATTCAACAATTATTCATCCTTCATCTAACATRCGTCATCAAACTTTCCATCCATATACATACATATGTAGGTGTGTAGACACAAATACATATTCATTCATTCATTCAAACATACTTGCCAAAAATCATATATCACCAAGATGATGAATAGTGTGTTTTCTTGAGTTCAAGGACCCAGAAAAGCTCTGTTACTTATTCAGTCAATGTGCTTCAAGTTTTGTCCTAAAGTTTGAATTGTTTTCTCCCTAATGAGCTTCTCTTTCAGTCTGTCAGGTTGTCCACGAGCATCAGGGAACAAGAAAAAACCTAAATTACCTGGGGACGAGTACATAACTGCAAAGTTTAGAGCAAGCGATGGTAAAGAAATAACATCATTTTTACTTCTATTTCTCAAAAATAAACTCTGAGTCTGTGGTAATGACTAAGGAAAACTGTTGGATTGAGTATGGTTATATTTTCCATGTATCCACATGTTGTTTTTATAAACTAGCTATTGTCATATTTTATATTTCTTACTTAAATACTTTAGTCATAGTAAAACCAGATAGATGTTCCTTCTGTGTACTGGAACCATATCCAGAGAGATAGACTTTAGAGATGCGTTGCAGTCAAAGCGGGTTGGCCTAATATTTATATGTTCTTACTGGTGATCAGTTCTGGACAATGATGAAGATATCAAGCAGCTCAACAAGGAGATCAATGAGCTTAATGAGTCCAACTCAGAGATGGAAGCCGACATGATTAACCTGCACACCCAGGTGAGCACTAACACACTACTGAAACCTGCACATGTATGAAAATACATCCCAGACACTGAGATCTGATTGTAGAGCCAGATATGGTGGAAGAGTGTAAAGCACTGGTGTCCAATCCTTATTCTTAAGAACCAATATTCTATGTTTTAGACGTCTCTCTGCTCCAACACACTTGATTTGAATGATTAGGTGAATAACAGGTTTCTGTAGAACTCAATGAGTTGCTGAAGAGGTAATTCAGCTATTGAATCAGGTCTTACGGAGCAGGAAAACATGATAGTGTCCCTAAAAGACTAGTACTGGACATAATGGGCCTCATGCAAGAACATGTTCATATTCTTATCCTAAATTTCTCTTACTTTTGTTCGTACAAAGGGTTCGTACGAACATGCCACTTCAGATTCAACAAACTCTTCTATCTTCAGGAAAAGTATGTAAATGAGCTGCGTAAACATGATGAKTTACACCTGTTCGTATCAGCTGCTCGTGCACGAGGAGAGGAGATTTACATAATTACTACCCCAAAAACACCATATAAGGATATGTGTCCTGCTCCACATACCAGGACGTGTCTATTCATGAATGACATCGCAAAGTATAAGAAATTTACGAATTCGGAGATTGAAGTCCTGCTCTCCGAGATCAAGAAAAGAAAATCTGTTATTTTTAGCAGCGTCATGTGGAATTAAATGAGCTGCTTAAAGGAATGAAATGATGACTGTTAATGTCGTGTCTCATGTGGGTCATTACAGTCTGTGAGGTGTGAGGCAGAATGACCCATGGCGCAGGCAAAAATCCAAAGAGAAGAATAAAGTTTAATAAACAAAAGAGTGCTGAAAAGCAGCTCAAAAACTCACTGATAACTTCTCAGGGAAACACGAGGAACACACCACACTGGCTGAGTAAACAGCACAATGAACAGACACAGACTGAGGACCAAACACCACATTTAAAGGGAAACTAATGAGGACAAATGAGAAAAAGCTGGAGAAGACACAAGAGGGAAAACAGGTGAGTGTGGGCGGGGCTGCAGGGCAAAGAAACACAGGGGAACACTGAAACACAAAAACTTAGGAAATAAACACAGATTATGACAGGACCTCCCCCTTAACGACGGCTCCTGACGTCGAAAAAGGAGAGGCACGAGACTGGGAACACACGACAGGACAGACTCAAAGATAAAAGACACAAGGTTAAGGAGGACGGCCCGAAGACCATCCAGCACGGGGCAGAGGATCTGGAGGGCGGCCCAGAGAACACCCCGGGTCCAAGGGAGTCGCGGGAGCAGAGGAGGAGCCAAGGGAAGAGGCGGGAGCAGACGTGAAGCCAAGGGAGGAGGTGGGAGGCGATGAGAAGCCGGCAGAGGTTGATGGAGCAGGAGCCTTGGCGACAGCTAACACAGGCGCCTAAGAGGCGATGACTGACGACCCAGGCGAAGAGGAGGTGACGGGTGACGACCCAAGCGAAGAGGAAGTGACGGGTGACGACCCAGGCGAAGAGGAGGTGACGGGTGACGACCCAGGCGAAGAGGAGGCGACGGGTGACGACCCAGGTGAAGAGGAGGTGACGGGTGACGACCCAGGCGAAGAGGAGACGACGAGTGACGACCCAGGCGAAGAGGAGGTGATGGCGGTCGACTCTCGAACCACCAGAACCGCCGAGACCTCCAACGAGACCACCAACTGTGGAACCACCGACCATGGGACCACAGACTCAGGAACCTCCGGGACCTCCAACTCCGGGACTACTGGGACCACCAGCTGTGGAACCACTAAAACCACCAACTCAGGAATTTCCGGGACCACCAGCTGTGGAACCACCGACTCAGGAACAAGAGAGGTGGGAGGGTGGGCGCCAATGCCCTCAGCCTGGACCCTCGCCGAAGACCCCGAGCAGAAGGTGAATGGCTGGACCCCAGATGACCCAAAACGGAAGGTGGTAGGCTCCACCATTCCCCAGTGGAAGTTGGAGGGGGGCAGCCCAGAAAAAGAAAAATTGCCAGCAGGCTGGGTGCTTTGTGGTCTGTTCAGTCTGTGAGGTATGAGGTAGAATGACCCACGGTGCAGGCAAAAATACAAAGAGAAGAATAAAGTTTAATAAACAAAAGAGGGCTGAAAAAGCAGCTCAAAAACTCACTGATAACTTCTCAGGGAAACGAGGAACACACCACACTGGCTGGGTAAACAGCACAATGAACAGACACAGACTGAGGACCAAACACCACATTTAAAGGGAAACTAATGAGGACAAATGAGAAACAGCTGGAGACGACACAAGAGGGAAAACAGGTGAGCGTGGGTGGGGCTGCAGGGCAAAGAAACACAGGGGAACACTGAAACATAAAAACTTAGGAAATAAACACAGATTATGACACAGTCACAGAAATAAAAATCTAAATCATTTTCATCTCTCTCTAGTCCTGCTCCAGTGTTTCTTTGGTCAAATATTTTTAATTTAAGTGTAAACAACTGTGTTACTGTGTTTACTTTTATTCAGAAGAAGGGTGGTTGCGCACCGCTACCCCCCACCCGGCGCCTGCCCGTCTCCCCCCTCCTGGCGGTCGCAAGTGACAAATGCGGTTCTGAAAAGACACATTTTAAAACGTCTCCAAACTTAAATTAATGCATAATTTAAGGGGTTTTTTTAGTTTGTGATCTTCTTATTAAAATTGTAGTGTTATACAACAGCATTAAAAGACAGTTTAACTTAATCTAATCAATTTATGTCGTTAAAATCTAATTCCAGTTCAAACAGAATAACCTATTGTCAGCATAATTATGGAGTGTGATTTATTTTCAACTCGAAACATTTTCTAAATAACGAAATATAACGTTATTAGTGAAGAAAACCCATCTGGATGACAGCAGACTGACTGCTCGTAAAATATACGACAGGTCTGGACCACTCGTGAATTTTGTTCGTATCTGAAAAAAATCTTATGCGAAAACATTGGTGAATGCCACAAATTCTCCTAAATCACTCGTACGCACAACTTAAGAACAAATCTCTGCGTACAAACGGTTCTTGCATGAGGTCCAATGGGTGTAAAGGTACCACTTTGGGTAACTTGATCATCCAGAGTACCCCACCTTGCAGCTCTAGAACAAAAAAAATATTATCTGTATGTGGGTGGGGTGGGGTTGGATGACCAAAATACAGTATCTCATGAATGGATTTCAATGAAATTCACCAAAAGTGATCATTATACATCTACAATTGATAAACCTTTGAAGTCAATCTGATTATAGCCACCACAGCTAACCAACAAGCCTTTGTAAATAGAAAAACTGATATTGTGAAATAATATAACCAAATTGTAAATTGTGGTGTGGTAGAAGCTAAAAGTGACATCTTTGTTTAAATCTATGGGATACAAGGCAGTGGAAACAATGGGGCAGTGGTGCGCGACCGCTCTCCTGAATAAGTGAAGCCTATGTAACACAGTTGTTTACACTGAAATTAAAACTATTTGACCAAAGAAAAGCCGGAGCAGGACTACAGAGAGAGATAACTATGATTTAGATTTTAATTTCTTTGACTGTACGACCCACAGGAGACAACATTAACAGCAGTCATTTCATTCCTCTGCTTTAAAGCAGATCCTTTAATTCCACAACTAAAACTGCTAAAAATGACTTTTTTTCTGGATCTCCGAGAGCAGATCTTCAATCTCTGAACTAGTTCTTCTTTTTTACTTTGTGATGTCACTTATGAATGGACACGTCCTGCTATGTGTGGCAGGAAACGTATATCCTTATATGGTGTTTTTTGGGGGTGGTAATTATAAGGGGTGCAACGATACAGGAAATTCACGGTTTGGTTCAATTCGATACTTAAGTCTCACGATTCGATATTTTTTCGATACAAAAAAGAGAAATGTCCATGCCCCTTTTAACTTGTAATTTATTTATATTAATTATGAACATTTGTTTAACCTCAAAAGTAGTTTTTAAATTAAATGTTGCTGAAACAGCAAGTTTCTCAGTGGATTTGCGCTCAAAAATGCAGCCTAGGTGGAGTAGTCGAACACAGATCCACTGATCCTTCAACACAGAGCATCTTCAGAAGACAAGTTGATAAAGTAAATTTTTAAAATCTGTATTGTTCGATACAGCACTGTTCTGTACGGTTCGATACGGGTACATGAATTGTTGCACCCCTAGTAATTATGTAAATCACCTCTCCRCGTGCACGAGCACCTGATACGCATTCATCAGTTTACGCTTCTTATTTACACACTTTTCCTGAAGATAGAAGAGTTTGTTGAATCTGACATGACATGTTCGTACGAACCCTTTGTACGAACAAAAGTAAGAGAAATTTAGGATAAGAATATGAACATGTTCTTGCATGAGGCCCATTGATTCAATCAAGGAATGCTACATTCATTTTGATTTAATTTAATAAACCCATTAAACCCATTTGCAGACCAAGTCTAGCAACTGAGAAGCTGGCAGGTGTAGGTAAAAATATACTTTTATCATAACAAAACAAATACCATTGCAATGACAGATGTATAAAGAGAACTACCAAAACACATTCAAAGAAAACAAAATCTAAAGCATGAGACAATATGGGAAATGATCACAAATACCCATTGAGACCTTGTAAATGTACAGTAAATATCAAGAAGCACCATGAAAACATCATTCCTTGTGGGCTGATTACTAACTGAAACCTGGTGTGATATAGCAGCAAAAAGTAAGCTTGACTGAAAGCACATAAGGTAAATTATAAAAACACAACAAGGTTTTGGTTGTGGGGAAAATAACTTGGCCTTGGCTCTTTCTTTGTAAAGACTTTAGCTAGTTGAATAATTATGACTTCAACTATTTGATGACTTTCCAACTAACTTAATAATATACTGTATATTTACCATTTGCCTGTTATGCAATCAACTCTTAGAAAATGTTCACTGCATACCCGGTGATACTTTAAATGATGAAACTTGTTCTCTACTGTTAGCTAACCATCAGGTCAGATTTGTTTAATAGAAACCTATG